CCCATTTTTCTTTGCATTTTTGAAATCAACATTAAATTTCAGGTTAAAAAAGTTTCGATTTTCAATTTTCTGTTTATTATTTATCAAAGTAGTCAGCCGCACCTTAAAACTGAAATTAAGGGACTGTCATGTTGGTTGCACTCGATGATATAAACAAAATTCGGCGTCAACAATGCTGTTTGGAAAGAACGACCTAAATATTCGTCTTGGTGCGATGATTTCCCATTACAGACCACGTGTAATTCCACGTGTAAAGTATTAGCGGAGCTCCCGAACTGAGTTGATTTTTGATGGCTTCGCTACAACGTCAATTCGGTACGTACGTATGTCCGTGCAATCAACACAGGAATTCCGCTTGACGCCAAAGCAAAACTAATAGTACTGGAGGTAAATTTGATTAACTTATTAAAGGAGAGTAATCGTTAACGAAGCGACGCCGGCGCTGCTTGGCACGGATAGTGCCGCGGTAAATACTCAGAGCGTACAGCTGATTCAAACCAGAAAGACCGTTGGTGGACGTGGTAAATATATTCATATCGTACGGCTGATTCAAACCAGAAAGACCGTTGGTTGAAAAGTACGTTTATATAGTTTCTTTGAATAATCATTTTAATTGCTCTTAAAAAAAGCAATATTAAGTACATTTGCTAAGTCCGTAGGTTTGAAGATGTCTTGAAATATTGAATAATTAGTGAATAGAATAAAAAGTGAATAATTGAAAATTGCAAATAACCCTCCGTTTACTCTGCACATAAGTTAATTATAAAGTGTATTTTGTAGTTTAGAAAAATACTAATCGTTGCTATTTGATTATTTTGTACATTAATTATTCGTGCCTTCAAGTAGCAAACTAAATTAGTCAAAACGTTTTTTGATCGTTCTTCAAAAGTGGAACAGTTCTATTCTAGAGGCTTGGTATGAAGTTTTCTGAGACATGGAAGTTACCAAATCGTGCAAAATCTCTGCAAGTACGATCATCGTTTGTATTTGGTTAGTCAATTTATGAGGCCTGAAATACAAATTATCCTAAGGTCCCGTCCACAGTGATGCCGGATAAATTTGAATCCACAACTTTCACACCGAAACCGAAAAAAAAGTTTTCCGTCCACACATGAAAACGGATAAAATGTTTCGCGTCCACCCTAGCCCGATCAGAGGCGGAAAAAACGCTTCATTGCACATCTGAGCATGTGTATCGGAGCTGAAATTGAGCCCACGGTGAATTTTTAGCCTTCTCGCCGTGTTCCCATGACAATCCACACTAATACGGCTAGCCGGCGTTTTCAAATTGTTCCACTCTGAAGACCTTATTCGAAATAAATCGTTTTCGGTGAAGAATTGTTCCGGATTCGCCCGAACTAGTGTGGACGGTAGGCCACCGAATAAATAAAAATTCGGATTCAAATTTATCCGTCATAGTGTGGATAGGGCCTTAATATAATTTGACTATATCTAAGCTTCGAAAATTAGAACGAAAGAGATTCAATAAGCTAAACAAGTATTAGTGGTTAAAGAGGAATACCTAACAACAAACTTGGCTAGCAAAAAGAATTATCCTAGTCTGCGAACACGGTAACTTGACGAACGTTTGAAGGAAATCAAGTGTAACCAGTATGATAAACACAACATTGAATTTTACCTTCAACTGGGTCCAATTTACTCCAAAACTTGTAAATTAAGGACTCATAAAAAAATTCTCGTTTCCATGGCAACAGTACATTTTGAGAGAAAAGGGTTGGTGTTTTTGTGCATCCCATATAATGGCCTACTTGCACGCCAATTTGAATTGTGGTCAAAAATTTACATTTCCCACCTTGCTTGAGTTTACCAGAGATCTAATTTTAAATTTGAAAGTATTTACCTTATATTCACGTCGGCCAGGACGAGAAACGGGTGTTGGTGTTTTGGCAAGAACATGCATATGAAGAGAAGTCACTTTTTCCGCCAGCGCAAGTGCAACAACTACAGCGAATACGAAAGCAATATTTTTCATTCTTTAGCCGTTTTCCGTAACCCTTGTAGCGTATTGGTTTGGTTGGAACCTATAGACACGGCCTGTAAGTAAAACTGCAAAACAAATGTAACAGTGTGATCTTTTATAGGATTATACTGGGGTTTTGAACGCCCTCTGCCGATGTGGTATCTTTTGCAGCGGATATTAATGAATCATTACCGAATTTCACCTGCTTCTTTCTTCCTATTGGCAATATTCCTGTGTGAATATCTCGTGGGCACTATGATAGGAGACCCTTGACACTCAATATTATCTGCAAGATGAACTTTGATAGCTTAGTTGCTTTTTTTGATATTTGATGACTTAGTGATTTGACTGAGCTAATCAAACCGATGATAGTAATCTAACGGCAGCATATCCACTTGATGCCCCCTGGATTTTAGGAAGCAGTGAAATTTGAATAATATTGTTGTAGGCCTATGGTATTCTGTAAAGCTTGATCACAATGAGAAAAAATATATGCCAGCCTGCATTTTAATATTCCTTTGTAAAAACACGAATAACTTATTTATGGAACGTTACATGTGCAAAATACATAAGTGATTTCAAATGGGAATATATAAACAAACACTTGATAAGATAAACGAGTGTTTAGGAGCCTGTCTAAGTTTCGTGGTTGTTCTTGGACAAACTGAGTTAGCCGGCCCGGATTTTTATTTGGTAATATTAATAACAATTCATAATTCATAATAGGTTGAAGGTTGAATATTGATAGTTAAATAAACAATCAGCCACATCCCACACTTCCATTTCAAATCTTAACTAACAGCGGCCAGCTATCGATCATGCCGTCTCGCACCTCGCCCACACCGCAAGTAAAGTAAACGCCTGCAGCTCATATGACATGGTGGGCAGCAAAACTGCAGGAAGCTGCACAGTTTGCACCCCCCTAGGGCTAGCTGTTCTGGTCTCTTTCATCATTACTGACATAATGCCCTGTATGTCAATAAAACAAATCAATGGTCCAGTAGTTGCCCCTAGTTATATTCAATAATAATCATCACGTACGATTAGCCTTATAACAAAACAAAAAATCACAACAACAACAACAACAACAACAACAACAACAACAACAACAACAACAACAAAACTAATACTCAAAAAATGGTATTGCTGACGAAATTTCATTTTGCGGTTTCCATGCACACAGGCTATTTTTTTTTTCATTATAATGAGTTTCTCAAACTGAAACGAGTCACATGATACCGCTGCCGTCAACGTTTGCGTCTGACACACCACAGTTTGCAGATCAAAACAAATAAAGCCGATTGAACCTTTTTTCATGACGTTTTCACATGAAACATTTTATTTTACACTGTGAACTAAGCGAATATTTTATTTAAAAAATGGTTTACAATACTATTTCATTTGACTTCATTCAAGTCTGTAAATTACTGATTATTTATTGGAGCGAATTCTGGTTGGTTAAGAGGCCGTCCGCGTAAGAACGGATAAGGCAAAATTTGACCCATCACCGATTTTCCTGATTTTCTTAGTAAAAGTCCACTATTATATGCAATGAACAATTATCACATTTATTTGGATCAATTCGGATTTTTAGGTACTTTACGAGACGGTTTTCGATGACACCTCAAAATTTGCAAATTCACCGTCGGGAAAGCTGCGATTAAGCTGTACATATCGGGCGCCGCCAAATTTTTTTACTAACTTAAATCAACTGAAAATTTTTACACATGAATTTTATAACTTTTGGTTATAATTAAAAGTTTTAACGATTAAATTTAATAA